CCTGGGGGGCTGCGATCTGTGAAACTGTCGCCACTTTCGAGGCCTGCTGGGGGGCCCAGCGCAGTGGGTTCACACGGCGGATTCAAATTGGACCTCGCCATCCCTGGGGGGCTCCGATTTGCGAAACTGTCGCCATTTTCGAGGGCTGCTCGGGGGCTCAGCACAGTGGGCACCCACGGCGGATTCAAATGGGACCTCGCCATCCCTGGGGGGCTGCGATCTGTGAAACTGTCGCTACTTTCGAGGGCTGCTGGGGGGCCCAGGCACCCACGGCGGACTCAAATGGGACCTCGCCATCCATGGGGGGCTGCGATCTGTGAGACTGTCGCCACTTTCGAGGGCTGCTGGGGGGCCCAGCGCAGTGGGTACACACGGCGGACTCAAATGGGACCTCGCCATCCCTGGGGGGCTGCGATCTGTGAAACTGTCGCCACTTTCGAGGCCTGCTGGGGGGCCCAACACAGTGGGTACTCACGGCGGATTCAAATTGGACCTCGCCATCCCTGGGGGGCTGCGATCTGTGAAACTGTCGCCACTTTCGCGGCCTGCTGGGGGGCCCAGCACAGTGACGCCACACGCAGATTCAAATTAGACCTCGCCATCCCTGGGGGGCTGCGATTTGTGAAGCTGTCGCCACTTTCGAGGCCTGCTTGCGGGGCCCAGCACAGTGACGCCTCCCAAGTAGCTTACACATCAAGTTGATTGTCCATACGAGTTTCGGCCAACTCCTCGTTTCCATTGATACAAATGGGTTGGGTACGTCACAGGGTAATTTGTTTTTGTTTTGTTGGCTTTCGTTTTCTTTCTCTCTTCTCTTTGCTCTAGCATGTTGAAAGTATAAAAATACATTTTTGTGTATATATATATATATATATATTTATAGATATATCTCTATACATACATATATATACACATGAAAGAGCGTGTTCTACCCCTGCTGGCGGAAAACCGACGGGGTCACCACATGATCGACCCCCCCCCCTCGGGAAAACCGGGGGGGGGCACTACTGGTTCGAACCCCTGCTTCCCCCTCCCCCCAGTCCATCATGAAAACGGGGGGGGGTCACTACTCGTTCGAACCCCCCCCCCCTCCGGAAAACCGAGGGGGTCACTACCGGTCCGAACCCCCTCCCCCCCTCCCCTCGAAAACCGGGGGGGGTCACTACCGGTTCGAACCCCCCACCCCTTCCCCCGCCGGGCCAGGGAGAGTGAGGACATCGGCACACTGCTGGGGGCACTGGTGAGGACAGCGGGGACAATGGTGTGAACAGTGGGGACAGTGGGACAGTGGTGGGGACGGTGGTGGACAATGGTGGGAACAGTGAGGACAGTGGGACAGTGGTGGGGACGGTGGTGGTGGGGACAGTGGTGTGGGGACAGTGAGAATGTGGTGGAAACGGTGGGACGGTGGAGGGTACAGTGGTGGTGGGGACAGTGGTGAGGGCGGTGGGGACAGTGGTGGGAACAGTGGGACAGCTCAGTGGAACAGCGGAGGAGACAGTGGGACAGTGGGGACAATGGGGACAGTCGGGCAGTGGTTGGGGCCGTGGAGAAAGTGGGGGAGAGTGGAACCGGGGTGGGAACAGTGGTGGGGACAGTGGGGACAGTGGTGGGAACAGTGGGACAGCTCAGTGGGACAGCGGAGGAGACAGTGGGACAGTGGGGACAGTGGGGACAGTCGGGCAGTGGTTGGGGCCGTGGAGAAACTGGGGGAGAGAGGGAACCGTGGTGGGAACAGTGGTGTGGACAGTGGGGACAGTGCGACAGTGGTGGGGGCACTGGTGGGGACAGTAGGGACGGTGGTGGAACCAGTGGGGACAGTGGTGGTGAGGACAACGGTGCTGGGGACAGCAGTGGGGGATGTGGTGCGGACGGTGGTAGGGACCGGGAGTCGTTTGCTGGCGGTGAGCGTGGGGGTGGTGGGGGGGGAGGGGTTCAAACCGGTAGTGACCCCCACCGGTTTTCGAGGGGGGGGGGTTCGAACCGGTAGTGACCCCCCCCGGTTTTCGAGGCAGGGGGGGGGTTCGAACCGGTAGTGACCCCCCCCAGCTTTCCGGAGGGGATGGGAGGGGGGGAGGGTTCGAACGGGTAGTAACCCCCCCCCGGTTTTCCAGACGAGAGGGGGGGGGGACTTCGAACCGGTAGTGACCCCCCCCTGTTTTCCGGAAGGGGGGGGGTCAGGGGAACGGAGTTTTTGCCGGGGGAAAGGGGGGGGTCCAGCAGGGGGGGGGATTTCGGAGGGGGGGGACCCCTGGGTTCTGGAGGAAGAGGGGGGGGGGAATTTTCCACAGTAAGCGGCGGTGGGATCACGCTCTCTCTCTCTCTCTCTCTCTCTCTCTCTCTCTCTCTCTCTCTCTCTCTTATATATATGTATATATGCGTGTGTGGGGAAATTTGCCAGAAGTTACCATTTCAGGGCCTCTTATACATACATATATCTACATACAAGGTTAACAAGTAATACATACATTTAGATACCTCATACATACATACACACATGTGTGTGAATGTATGTACATATATATATATATATATATATATATATATATATATGCATGTGTGTGTGTCATTTGCCGACTACCATTCTAGGGCCTCTTTCTGGCATTGCGGCGTTGCTCACATCGGGAAGGGTTGGGTTCGCTGGGTCACACACCAGCGTGCCCGTTAGTGTTAAGGCGGGCATGTCCCTCTACACGAGGAGCGTTCAAAAACAGTACAACAAACCGTCAGGGGACAACTTTTCTGCACTTGTTGATTCTGTTTTGGGCATGTCTTGACTATCTCCTGTTTCTCTTCAGACCCCGCCTGTAGGAACACATGCCCGACCTAATGCTAGTGGAGTTCCCCCAGGAGGGGCTCGTGGGCGACGGCGGCGCGTGACAGCCCAGAGAGCGTTGTGAAGGAATGCCCCGCCAGATTTCGCTTCCCGCGCTTCCGGCTGCGAAACAAAATGAGGATGAGGATGAGGAGGATGAGGAAGACGAGGAGGAGGATGAGGCGGGTTCGCGCTCATTGTTCATCGGTTGGTAGTGGGTTCGTTGGAGGGTAGTGATCGGCCAAGATCAAGGCCACTTGACCTTCACTGCGGTCTTTACCAGCGCTACGAGCGGCCCCCGGACCGCTCCCCGGGCGCCTCCCCGAGGCGCTCCCCGGGGCGGCTTGCCGCCAGCCGTCGGCGAAGGGGCGCCTCCCTTGAGCACCCGGAGGGGAGCGCACACGAGCGCCCTGTGGGAGGGCCGCCGTCGCCTCGACTGGAAGGAGTGCGCAAGCTTGTCTGGGTGGCTGCCGCTGGCCAAGGGGATGCCCGTGGCCTTGGGGGATCACCTGGATCAATGGAAAAAAACAGCTTCTGAGTGGGCCCCGCCCGCCTCGCGCCTCGTTCTGCCCGGCTCCTTCGCGGAGCCCGCGCGGGCCCGCTCCATCAGGATCGTGTATCCAGTCCCCATCCCCTTCCCTTTCCCTGCGAGACCCCGATCAAATTGACCCCCCAGTTGGGGATGCGCCCCTCGAAGCCCGAAGGGGGCGGCCCACATCCCCATCTACTAGGGGGTCAAATCGGCCAGTGGGGCCCAGGCCACGCCGCTGGGGATGGGGATCGGATAAACGATATTCACAGGGCGGGCGCAGCACGCCGTTTTTTTTGTTTTTTGTTTTGTTTTTTTGTTTTTTTTCCTTCCTTTTTGTGGGGGGGGAGGTGTGGTCTCCGGGGGCCGTCCACCAAACTCGGCAGCGAACCCAGGGGGGAGGCCCGAGTGGGACGGGCCGTCTCAGAAGGAGCAAAAGGCCTACGGCCTTTTGAGAACCCTTCTAAGCCTTCTCCGAAGGCACAGGCGACTTCCCAGAAGGTTGGGGGGCTCCTTAGATGCCCCGCCACCTTCAGAGAAGGCCTGCCATCTTTCACTTCCCCTCAGGCGCGCCGCCGAAAAACTATCCTGGACGAAGAGCCGGTCCCCATGAACCGAAGGAAACACAATAGCATCATGGTAACCTTTCGAAGCTTCGCGCTGGCCTCTTAGGTCGGCGCGGCCCCCTGCCTGGCGGCGCCAGGGAAGTCGCGGCCCTCCGAAAGTTTATGCTTGCATTCAGTTTCTTCTTGTTGGAAGGAACGGGCCCCTTGGGACCCTCCAGGGAAGGTGTCGAGAGATCTCGGTCTCGGGCCGAAGGGGTATGGTTGGGGTGCGCCCCTGCGTTCATGGTGCCTTCACTATGCGCTGGCCGTCTCTGGTGCTCGCTATTTTCGTGCCTCATGGGCCTCGCGTTGCCACCCTCAAGCGCATCAGCGTTAGGAGTTTGTCTTTGGGTTCCGAAGATGGCATCCTGATGGTGGAGGACCAAAAATGGACAGCCACGTCCAAAGACCCTGACCATCGTCTTTCGGAAACCACACTACCTTCACATCACCTTCCACGGCATCCTCACCAGACACTCCTCAAAGTCTCCCCTGAGGGCGTCAGAAAATCTGCCCTTGGGCGACGCTGGCGCCGACACTGTCGCCGACGACGCCGACGACGACGACGGAACGACGACGGCGGCGACGGCAGTTTCGACGGAGGACATGCCGTGCGGGCGACGACGGTGACGGCGACGGCGACGGCGACGGCGACGGCGACGGCTACGGCGACGGCGACGACGACGACCACGACGACGACGACGACGACGACGACGACGACGACAACGATGGAACGTTCACGACGACGACGACGACTATCCTCACCACACCTTCCACGGCATCCTCACAATAATTTCCTTCTCGGACTCTCCCCTGAGGGAGTAAGGAGGTCTGCCCTGGGGCGACGCTGGCGCCGACACTGGCGACGACGACGGCGACGACGACGACGACGACGACGGAACGACCACGACGACGACGACGACGACGACGACGACGACGACGACGACGACGACGACGACGACGACGGCGGAACGACCACGACGACGACAACGACGACGACGACCCCGACGACGACGACGACGACGACGACGACGACGACGACGCGTCGGAGGACACGCCGTGCGGGCTGCTGGAGGAGCCGAGCGCGGCGACCGGGGGCAGCGCGAGCGCGGCCGCGCCGCCGCGGGCCGCCAGCACCGCGCGGCCAGCGTCGATGGGCGCCAGGCCGAGGAGGAGGAGGAGGAGGCGGAGGAGGAGGAGGAGGAGGAGGAGGAGGAGGAGGAGGAGGAGAGGAGGAGGAGGAGGAGGAGGAGGAGGAGGAGGAGGAGGAGGAGGGAGGAGGAGCAGGAGGAGGAGGGAGGAGGAGGAGGAGGAGGCGGAGGCGGGCGGAGGAGAGGAGGAGGAGGCGGAGCAGGAGGAGGAGGCGGAGGAGGAGGAGGAGGAGGATGAGGCGGAGGAGGAGGAGGAGGCGGATGAGGAGGAGGAGGAGGAGGCGGAGGAGGAGGCGGAGGAGGAGGAGGAAGAGGAGGAGGAGGAGGAGGCGGAGGAGGAGGAGGAGGAGGAGGAGCCGTCGGGGGGTGGCCAACCGCACGTCGCCGCCACGACCGCCATGGGTCAGGCGACCGCGAGCACGGATCCCAGAGATCCAACGTCTTGAAGAAACCAGGGCGGAGGTTGCTCGCAGTTCTGGGCCTCGGGGGGCCCACGCTGGGCCTCGGGGCCGTGAAGAAGCGACTCAGGACGAAAAACCGGCCCTCGGGGAATGGGTCGAGACTTCCGGGGACCCCGTATTGAGAAAAACACGACATCGGATCTCTGGGTCAGGCGATCGCAAGCATGGATCAAGGGGGCGTGGATTAGCGGCGGGTCCTGACGGGAAATCGCGGATCTCCGCTGCCGAGCGGGTCGGCATTGGCCGCACTTTGGGGAGGGCACCTCCCCCTTATCAATGGATTTGGCGACCGCACGCGAAATCCATGGATCGCTAAACCATGCTCGCGCGCCCCCGAATGGGCAACCAGGTTCGAGGTGCCTCCCCGTGTGCTCCTCTCCTCCTCGTCCTCCCCGTCGTCCTCGTCCTCCTCCTTCTCCTCCTCGTCCTCCTCCACGGCCTCCTCCTCCTCGGCCACGACGCGTGAGTTCGAGATTCCGAGGTCTCCGACGAGACAGTCGACCTAGGCTGGAAGAGCATCCTTCAAGAACACGAGATCCTCCCTCGGCCAAGAGCAAGCAGACCATCCAAGAGCACACCCCCCAGGGTGCACACAAGCACCCAGCACACGAAGAACGCCAGGGTACCCTCCCCGAGCCGACCTCGATCGCATGCCTCGGCCCGGCGGTATGATCGCGCTAGTCTGGGCGCCTTCTCCTCGATTCCGGCCCTCGGAGCCCGCCACGGGGCCCCAGGACCACCGAACGCGGAGCCGGGACGACACATTTGCCGTCGGGGAGTGGCTCGTCCTGGCGTCTTGGGCCAGCTTGGACGCTCCGACCGCTCGCGGCCGCCCCCGACCAGGTCCAGGGGAGGGGAGCGGGGGGGAGGGGCGAGCCACCCTCCCCGAGGGGGGAGGGGGTGGGAGGAGGGAGCTCTCGAGACCACCTGCGTCCAGAGGACTCTGGTGGGATTGGCCCTCGGGGCACGGTTCGGGCCGGGGCTTCCGGGGCCGCGGAGGGTGCAGGCCTGGAGGGTGTCTGGACCGGCCGCGTGCCGCCGCCACGACTCGACGCAGGCAGAGCGGCATACCCCACGGTTCGAGGTGAGGTGGGGGGGTCGCAACCCTCCCGGACGAGTAATGTGACGTCGGGCGTGTCCCCCCACAGGAGGAATATTTTGAGAAATAGTCAACCGATTGTCAGTGGAGGATTTTCTGACCATCTTCTGAGTCTTTTTGAGCATTAATTTGCAATTTTAGTTTTTTATCCAAAATCCGCCTGTAGTGCTTCTCAGCTGCATAGCCAGCCTCAGCTCGAATAAAATAGAGAAACCTAACATCATCTCTGAAATATTTAGCAGAGTAAAAGGAGTTTTTGGGTTCTAGCTCTGGTAGTTGACCGAACTCAGACATCTGAATACTTGAGACTGGTGCTGCTGACGTAGGGGGCCCTGCCCGACCCAAGAGTAACTTCAGACGCCCCCCCCCGGACTGGCCATGAGCGGGCGGCCTTCTACCCAGAGCCCCCCCGGGAGAACCCTCCAAGGAGGAGGAGGAGGAGGAGGAGGAGGAGGAGGAGGAGAAAGAGGAGGAAGAGGAGGAGGAGGAGGAGGAGGAGTGAGGAGGTAGGAGGAGGAGGAGGAGGAGGAGGAGGAGGAGGAGGAGGAGGAGGAGAGCGGAGGAGGAGGAGGAGGAGGAGGAGGAAGGAGGAGGAGGAGGAGGAGGAGGAGGAGGAGGAGGAGGAGGAGGAGGAGAGCTCAGATCAGACCTCCCGCAATTCAGACCACCCCTCTTGTATCATGAAACCTGGAGTAAGCGCAAACTTCCGGAGCTGCACGCCGATGTCCCTGAGCGGTGCCGGCCCCCCCCCCCCGGCGGCGCCTCTGGCGCCGCCCCTGGCGCGCTCCGCGCTTGGGAGCGGGGTCCAGCGCCGATCCAAGAAATCCGCGCGTACCTTCAAAAGTTTCGGTTCATGCAGTGTTTTTGGTCCCTCTGACGATGCGCGGGTCCGAGATACGAGGTCTTCTGGCGTTCTCTTCGGCTCCACGTGTTTGATCGCCGTCGGGCGCTTCCCAGCTGCTGCGCCTCGTCGAGAGCGTTCTGCGCTTGATGTGGTCCGAGAACTGAACCTTGCCAAGAAGAGCCCTGGAGAACTGCGTGCTTTTGACGCCGGATCCGGCCTCAAAAAAACACGCAGTTGCTTGAAGCCGGATCTGTTTTTTCCGCGAGTTTGGCCCCCAGTGTCGGGTGTTGCTGGAAGTACCCCTGGCCCAAGGCGCCCCTGGCTTCTCGCCCCACTTTGGAGCCCCCAGGGCCCCTCTGGGCCCCGTGAGGGGCGCTCTGGAGGCCGCTTGGGGCACCCCTGGAATCCTGGGGGCACCTTGGCCCAGGGGCACTTCTGGCAACACCCGACAAGACGCATAGCATCGGCATGATCCCGCCAGCTTTCTGTTACCATTTGTCCCCCCTCCGCGTGCCGCCAGCTTCCTGTCACCATTTGTCCCCCCCCCCTCCGCTTACTGCAAGTTCGGTTGTCGCATCGACTCCTGAATGCGAACAGCAACCAAGACCACACGAGTCCGCTGACTTGGAAAAAAAAACTTCCGGCAACACCCGACAGCGGCAGTTTTCGGGCCCCAGTCGGCGTCACCCCAACATACTTATACTATGTGTGCGTCGCCCCCCCAGGGGCGACGCGCGCACCGAGAAATCTTTTAGTGTATGCGTCGTGGCGGGCGCTTTCTGGCCACACCGCTCGGGAAACGATATACTACAAGATGGGCATACTATATGTTCGGGTCGGACATGTTAGTGTTAGTATGTCTCTGTGTGTCCCACCCGACAGCGGCAGTTTTCGGGCCCCAGGGCCGCCAGCAGCGGCTCCGGGGCCCAGGCCTGGCCCCCCCCGCGCCGGGAGAGCGGGGCCCCGGGGCCCCGCCGTGCCGGAATCGCCGGCCCTCGGCTCGCGCCGGGGTAGCGGCGGGGCGCGCGGCCCGCGTTCCCCCGCCCTCCTCCTCCTGTCGTCGTCGTCGTCGTCCTCCTCCTCCTCCTCGTCCTCCTCGTCCTCCTCGTCCTCCTCCTCCCCCTCTCCTCCTCCTCCTCCTCCTCCTCCTCCCTCCTTCTCGCCTTCGTCCTCCTCCTCCTCCTCCTCCTCCTCCTCCTCGTCCTCCTCCTCCTCCTCCTCCTCCTCCTCCTCCTCGTCCTCGTCCTCCTCTTCCGCCTCGTCCTCCTCCTTCTCCTCCTCCTCCTCCTCGTCGTCCTCCTCCTCCTCCTCCTCCTCGGGGTCCTAGAGGCGAGGGGTCCGGGACTCTCCTCGCCGCCTTGGGGCTCCCAGCGGGGGCCCCCCCGAGGCCTCGCGACCGTCCCTGGGCCGACTCGCGGGACCCGTCTCCACCAGGGCAGCCAGGTGGCAACATCCAGGTGGCAACATGCTGCTGCTCCTCCTCCTCTTACGTTGACCGAACCTGAATCCTACGATTGTGGCGTTCTTCCTCCTCCTCCTCCTCCTCCTCCTCGTCCTCCTCCTCCTCGTCCTCCTCCTCGAACCTCGAACCTCGAACCTCGAACCTCGAATCGTGACCTGGATTCTCCAGCCTCGACCATTGACCTCGAACCTTTGCCTTGACACCGGAGTGCCGTGTGGTTGGCGTCCTCCTGCAAGGGTCCCCGCCGCGTCGGCGCGTTCCGCCAGCCCGACGCGGCCCGCGGCGCCCACGTCGCCTGGCCCGACGCGACCGGCGTCGATGGGCGCAAGGGTGCCAGCGGAGGGAGGGGAGCGGGAGCGGCGGAGGAGGAGGAACAGGAGGAGGAGGAGGAGGAGGAGGGAGGAGGAGGAGGAGAGGAGGAGGAGGAGGAGGAGGGGAGGAGGGAGGGAGGGAGGGAGGGAGGGAGGGAGGGAGGGAGGAGGGAGGGAGGGAGGGAGAGGCAGGGAGGGAGGGAGGGAGGGAGGGAGGGAGGGAGGGAGGGAAGAGGAGCAGGAGGAGGAGGAAGAGGAGGAGGAGGAGGAGGAGGAGGAGGAGCGATGATGATGATGATGATGATGATGATGCTGCTGCTGCTGCTGCTGATGATGATGATGATGATGATGGTGGTGGTGGTGGTGGTGGTGGTGGTGATGGTGGTGGTGTGGTGGTGGTGGTGGTGATGGTGATGATGACGATGGTGATGGCGATGATGAAGATGACGATGATGATGATGATGACGATGATGATGATAATGATGATGATGCTGCTGCTGATGATGATGCTGATTACCATGATGATGATGCTGATGCTGATGCTGATGCTGATGATGATGATGATGATGTTGGTGGTGGTGGTGATGGTGGTGGTGATATGACGATGCTGATGATGAGGAGGATGATTCTGATGCTGTTGTTGATTCTGATGATGATGCTGATGCTGCTGAAGCTGCTGATACTGCTGATGATGGTGATGATGATTATTTTGATGATGATGATTATGATGGTGATAATTATGATGGTGATGACAATGATGATGACGATACGGATGATTCGGATGATCACGTTGCTGATGATGCTGATGATGATTATGATGATGCTGATGATGATGCTGATGATGATGATGATTATGATGATGATGATGATGATGATGATGATGATGATGATGATGATAATGAGGATGAGGATGACGATGATGATGGTGGTGATGATGCTGGTGATGATGCTGGTGATGATTTAGATGATGCTGCTGATGATGATGCTGATGATGATGGTGATGATGACGATGCTGCTGATGATGAGGAGGATTATGATGCTGCTGATGCTGATGCTGATGCTGATGATGATGATGAGGAGGATGATGAGGAGGAAAACGAATTGCCGTAAGAAGCACAATGTTATAACTAATAATGATAATACTAATGCTCATAACGAAACGAATCATAGCATAACTAACAAGACCAATGTCAACACTATCAATAATACTACGAGCATTAATCATGAGAATAAGAAGAAGGCTAGTAATAAAATTCATAGTAATATGTAGAAGAGTAATAATAATAACCCGAATACGAATAATCACAGTAATACTAAGCATACTACTGATAATAATCGTAATAATACAAAAACTGGTAATTATGGGGATACTGAAACTAAGAATATCACTGACCGACTAATAAGCATACTAAAAGCAATACTAACAATAGTAACACTTAATAATAATAACATACCTCGAGTAATACTAGTACCGCCAATAATAATAATTTGAATCATATCAAGAATACGAATAACATGAGTAATAACAACAATAACAATAATAAGAAAACAAAGAAGGATAAGAGGAGGAGGAGGAGGAGGAGGAGGAGGAGGAGGAGGAGGGGGAGGGAGGGAGGGAAAGAGGGAGGGCAGGAGGGAGGGAAGGAGGGAGGAGGGAGGGAAGGAAGTGTGGTTGTAGTGGGGCTTCCGCGACTGCATGCCTGGACGTTTCGCACAATGGGCGCAGCCGCTCGGCAAACTAGACACTGGGAGTGAATAGAAACAGGAAAGAACACTATTCTGGTTGGGTCCTGGGTCACTCTTCCAGCTCCGAGGTGCCTGACAAGAAGCTGCGGACGAGGGGAGGACGACGAGGAGGAGGAGGAGGAGGAGGAGGAGAAGGATCACGAGGAACGTCACATGGAAATGCGGAGGGGAGTCTTGTCAGTTGTGCCTGAAAGCCATATTAATTGTCTTAGGACTCCATCTAACAATGGTGGGCAGGCATTCGATCAACGAGAAGCGGTCCTAGCACAGCAGGTGCTGTGAGGATTGCCTCTCGATCTAGGAGGCGTGGAGAGGGCAGACGGGGAAGGAGTGCCAACACGGCCGTGAGCTACTGGTCAGCTTTGGTGCACCGAGGCCTCCCCCCCTGGGCTCGCCGCCGACGTGTTTCGTTGCGAGCTGCTTTTCGATGACCCCGGTGCCCAACCACTGGCCTCCAGAGGTCCCAGGGCTCATGAAAGCCGCCGCCGCCGTCGCCGCCGTCGCCGCAGACGACGACGATGACGACGACGATGTTTTGAGTTTTCACATCGCTGACCCTCGGAGGTCTCGACCCACTCCCCAGGACTGGCTTCTCATCCAAAGTAGTTTGACGGTCCCGGGGCCTAGCGAGGGCCCCCAGACACCGAAAACGACGAACAGCTCCGCCTTGATTTTTTCAGCCTCCCTCCAGAAACCCTCCGAAAATAATCAAGGCCGCGCTGACGGTGTGCTTGGTGAATGGTGCGGTTGGGAAGCTGGTGTTTGTGACACCGAGCTCACGCAGAACAGCATGTAGGAACCCCGCTTCCTACACTTCAGATATGCGGCTGTATCGAGCGGAAACGACACAGCGAATGGTAGGACAGCGCGAACCACGCGTTCCTGCAACTGGTTTGGCCACGAACCACGCTTTCCTACAGTCGGTTTTCCTACATCGCCGTTAGCTAGCACACCGTCAGCACGTCTACAGTCGGACCGAGGTACAAGATCGAGGTCGGTTCGGGGAGGGTATCCTCGTGTTCTTCGTGGTTGTTGGATGCTCTTGTGCACCCTGGGGAAGGGTTCCATTGGCTGTTCTATTCGCTTTGGCCCGCGGAGGGTCTCGTCTTCTTGAAGGATGTTCTTCTGGCCTAGGTAGACTTTACGGAATAAGAAAAACGCCCGTCGTTTTTTTTTCAGGAGGCCGAGGAGGAGGAGGAGGACGAGGACGAGGAGGAAGAGGAGGAGGATGCGGGGGAGAAGGAGGAGGAGGAGGAAGAGGAGGAGGTGGAGGAGGAGGAGGAGGAGGACGTCGTGATTTTGTCGCGACGGCGCCGTCGATGCCTCGGCGGCCCGTCGGAGCGCAGGTGCACGTCTACACGCGCCAGAGCACGTCGGGCTTCATGCGTAGCAGCGATCCGCCGCTGGAGGCCGCGCCCAGCGGAGAGGAGCCAGCAGACCCGCGGGGCCGAGGGTTCCCAGGGGAGGAGAAAATATCATCAAGAACAAGAGAACCCCTAACCCTAGTAACGCGATGAAGATGTGGCCTCACTGGGGTCCCGTCTTCGCACTAGGGAGAATCGATCTGGGCGATGTGGTCTGATACAGCTGCAGAAGAGACCCCCTATCCCTGATGTGTTGGCCCTCCTGGTTTAGCTCCCCTCCCAAAGGGTTCGGGGTAATTTCATTGCTTATCCAGATGCATCTTTGCGTTTCTCCTGGCCATACACAACCCAGGCCTCCGACGAACGTTCCTGAAAAACAGCAGGACTCAGGTTTTCTCTGCTTTCGTCGTCGACTGGGAGCCCTCGCATGGCTCCCAGACAGCCAACAACGATCCGAGAACGAAAACCCAGAGCCCTGAAAGTGGGCCAGAGCTTTGGGGACCATGCGCTGAACGAATCAAGGCATCGGAGGTCTGGGCAAGAAGCAATGCGTCTCCCCTGGCGATACAGGATGTTTCTTAGGGGAGTGGGAGGCGGGGACCAACGTCACGATTCGCGCTGGCGCCTTCTGGGAATGCCCAGGAACGGTTGAAGCCCTCGATGAATGTCCGTGCCCTGGGTGTCAGCTCAGACGTCGGGCGTCTCGAGAAAGTCGGGACGGAGGCTTTTCGTCGTTTTTGGCCTCTCGGGGCCCTCGCCGGGGCTCGGGACCGTCCGCAGAACGAGTCGGGATAAACAACCGGCCCCGGGGAAGTGGTCGGGAGGTCGGGGGCCCGTGAGGGGGGTGATGGTTAGGGGGTTGGGGTGGATATCGTGGCGGGGGCCATGATATCTCCCCAGATTTCACGGCGCCTCTTCTTGTTCCAAGAAGTCTCCGGCCCCCTCCTCTGGGCCGCGCACGTGCTGGCGGCCATAACTTGCGCCCCCCCCCCCCCGCTTGGACGCCCCTCTCCTGGCCGCTCCCGACACGTGGGGGTGAGGAAAGGTGCACCTTCTGTGCCTTTGACGGGCCCCGAAGGGGCCCCCCGGAACCCAACAGGGGCACGAAGGGTGCGCGTTTCTCCCCTCCCCCCCGCTTCAACGAGGAGGGTTGGCAGGCCCTACAAGGAATTCTAGACTCTGCGTGTAACTTCACCAGCCTATCCAGAAACGATGCCCAGACGAGTTTCCCCGATCAGGGATACGGAGTAGAATACCGTGGAACAAAGGGTTGGGTAAGACGTCGTACCCCAAGAGGGGGACGATGGAGGAGGAATCGGAGGAGGAATCGGAGGAGGAGGAAGGATGAGGAGGAGGAGGAGGAGGAGGAGGAGGAGGAGGAGGAGGAGGAGGAGGAGGAGGAGGAAGAGGAGGAGGAGGAGGAGGAGGAGGAGGAGGAGGCGGAGGAGGAGGAGGAGGAAGAAGGAGGAGGATAACGTGAAAAAGACCGAGGAGGAGAAGTAAGAAGTGGGGGGGGGGAAGGAGGCAGGAGGGAAGAGGAGGAGTAAGCGGATGAGGAGGAGGAGAAGGAGAAGAAGGAGGGGGAGGAGGAGGAGGAGGAGGAGGAGGAGGAGGAGGAGGAGGAGGAGGAGGAGGAGGAAAAGGGCGAGCAGAAGAGCCAGAAACCTCTTGAATGCCCCTCGGAGTCTCCTCGGATGTCGTGTGGGAGCTTTTTGGAGGCCTTCTGGGGCGTCTGGGGTGGCATCTTGGCAGGCGCAGGGCAGTCGTTGAACGTCTTGGGTGCCTCGGGGATCCTCTGGAGGCCTCTCCAGGTCCCTTGGGCGCCTCTTGGGGCCGTCTGGGCGCCTCTTGGGGCCCTCTTGGGGCGCTCTTGGAAGCGTTGGGGGCGCTCTTGGAGCCATCTTCTTTGAGGAGATCGATCAAACAAGGGGTGGTACTTCATTAGCCTTGTCCTTCTAGAGTGCCTAGATTCGTCTCTTGGACCATCTTAGACTCCTCTCAGAGCGCTCTTGGGCGCTCTTGGGGCCGTCTTGGGGCTCTCTTGGCCCCTCCTGGAGCCCCCGTGGACCCTCTTGGAGCCGTCTTGAGGCCTCGGAAGGCCGTCGGAAGCGAAAAGGCGAGACAGCAAACAACACGGATTTTCTTGGGGAGGCTCCGTGGCCACCTGGGGCCGTCATGGAGCGTTTTTGGGGCCTTTTGGGACATCTGGGGAGCCACCTTGGGGCATCTTGGGCTATCTTGAGCCATCTTGGAGGTCATCTTGGGTTCTCTGAGGCGCTCTTGGAGCCGTCTTGGGCGGGAAAGTACCTTTTGACAGAGGCGCCCTGTCCAGGTCCAGGGGAGGGGGTAGGGGGAGGGGTCAATACACCCACCCGCCCGCAAGCCGTCTAGCTCACTCCCACCTGCCCTCCCTACGCATAAGTAACACCCGAGCCTGAGCATGTTCAGTGGTCGTCTTTGGATGGACAGATACTGGGAAGCAAAGCCGACCCCAGGTGCGCGACGTTTGGGCGAGGTGCGCCACGCGTGCCAGGGGCGCCACGCGCGCCAAGCACCCCTGGGGCCCGAGCGTGCCAGGCACGCCTGGTGCGCCAGATGCGCCACGTGCTCTGAGTGCGCCAGGTGTGCCGCACACTCCAGCCGCGCCAGGTGCGCCGCGTTCGGGGCACATGCGGAGTGCGTCAGGTGCGCCTGCGCACGTGACAGCACACATCGGGAAACATGTCGGCCCCCGGCATCCTTGTCGAAATCTGATGTCCGTCATTGTGTCTGCTGGGCCTGCGCACAGCAGGCCACGCGCCACCACCACCGCCGTCCCTGTCAAAAACCACTTGACAGAGATCGCGGGATGGCCGCGCATGATGATCCAGATTTAACCGCGAGGTGCATGTTGTATGTTTTTTGTCAGGGATGGTAGCCCTGCGCACAGCAGGGAATATGCTGACACCCCCGCCGTCCTTGTCAAAGACAATACGAAGTGCTCGCGGGCCTCACGAACATGATTCAAGACTTTGCCTCACAGTGTACTTTGCATCGGTTTTTGACAGGGATGGTGGGGGGGGGGCCACATCGGGTTGGCCGCGCATGCTCCAAATGTGGAGGCAGAGTGCGGTTTGTATTGTTTTTTTGAAGGGGATGGTGGGGGGCGGGTGGGCATGGTATCGGCAATGTACCTGGTTGGCCCCCGGTCGCCTGGGGGAGGGGGTGTACATGTATCAGGAACAGTGATGACCCCTTCCCTGAAGGGGAAGAAGGGGGTTGGAAGAGAAAGCTCCAGACCACCTACGCCCTAAAGTGCTGGTGGGATTTGCTGTTGACATGACGCGCATGTCCCAGCACATTTTCGGTAGCATAGTGTACGCAGTACTTCGTAGACTCAGGCGCAGTCTTCCTTGCATGTGCCTGGCTTTGTCCACGCACCTCGCGGTGTTTGACGTACCAGTACCAGTACCAGTACCAGTATCAGTACCCCCCCACTTGTCGCCCACCACTAATTCACGCCCGACCGGGAGGAAGTGTCCAGAAGCGGGAGCGAGAGCCCAAACCCTCCTGTGTTGGGTTCTCGTTCTGAAGAGAGCCTTCTTCTTGTACCGCTACCGCCCTGCGAGGTTGCCCATTGTGCCCTCTACCGCTATCATACCATGCGTGTCGCCGCCGCTTTCGTGGGCTCCTGGGAGGTCGCGCGGAGTGGAGCTGTGCGGGGATCCAGTTGGGACCCCGCGGCTCCTCGGGGCGCTGCGAAGTGCGCAACCGTCGCCACTTTCGTGGGCTCCAGACGGGTTGTGCGGAGTGGAGTTGTACGGGGATCCAGTTGTGACCTCGCGGCTTCTTGGGGGGCTGCGAAGTGCGCAACCGTCGCCACTTCCGTGGGGTCCTGAGAGGTCGCGAGAAATTCAACTGACGAGTGCGCATTCAAAATGGCAGGGGTTTCCACAACGTGTCGCTGTCCTGTCACGCAACGCTCGGCGTTGTCACATCGCAGCTCGCAGGGAACCGCTGCGCCACGCAGCGTGTGGCGCTGTTTTTTTTTGTCCGCGTGGCCTCCCATCCTCAGCTGCCTCTGGTTTGCCATGCCACCTCGCGCGCTCGCCTCGCTCAGCGCGACGCGATGATCTGATATAGAACGAGCGCATGGCGTTATTCTTTCCCGCGTATGTAGCGCTCGGCGCTGTTGCTGTTGCTGAACATGTATGTCCTTCTTTCACACCCCTCTGTATGCTTCTGTCCTCATCTCTATCTCATATCTCGCTTATTCCTTCATGTTTTCTTGCGGTCTATTGGGATCTCATGCGCACTGCGAGTCCTTCACCATGTTTATTTGCAGTGAGCGGTCCTGTTTATTTATTTAGATTTTTGCGAAGGCCTTACGGCCAGTGCCGCCGACCCTGAATGGCGGCGACGACGACGACGACGACGACGACGACGACGACGACGACGACGAGCGCTCCCAGGTGCTTCTTGGGGGTAGTTTGGGGGCCTCTCGGGAGGCTCTTGGGGGCCCGGGGCCTCTTGGGGCTTCCTGGGGGTCTCTTGGGGTCCTCTAGAGGCCTCTTGGGGGGCTTCTTAGGGGCCTCTGGGGCCTCCTGGGAGCTTCTCAGGCCGAGGGAATTTTACCCTTTGGGGCCCTCTTGGAAGTCCTCTTGGAGGCCTCTTGGGGCGTTTTGGAAACGCTTTGAGCCGTCTGGAGGCTACTTTGGCGACTTGGACCGATACTTCGGCGATTCGAGGCCACCGTCTTGGGGGCATCTTGGGGCACTTTTGCCTTCTTGGAGCTTTTCTGGGCCCCCGAACCGCCCAGGGGGGAGTCGTATCTGGGTGGCGACCCCCCCCTTGGAGGGGAGTCGTATCTGGGTGGCGATTCCCCCCGGGACCACCCCGGGACCCCTCCCAGGACCTCCCCCACCCCTCCCCGGCAGGGAAGGGATCAAAGGGAAAATGCTTCCCTTCGACTCAACTACAATTGGCTTGTAGGGAAAGGAGAGGGGAGCGGCGAAGGCGACGACGACGAGAACGATCTCGACGACGATGACGACGAGTAAAACGGAACAGCCTCTTCCACACGCTGATAGGGTCGGCGAATTTGTGTAAGTGTGTGTATATCGGAGGTTGGGGGGTGAGTCCGACGTGAAACGGAGACCCCCCCTACTGGGAAATCGATTTCGGTTTCGGTTTCGTGTCGTGCGTGCCGTGCGTGCGTGCGGGCGAGGCGAAGCTGCGTGGGCGGGCGAGAGGAAATCCTCCTGTGGCTGGGCCGCGGCCAGACCAAATGTTGCTCCTCCGGCGGCGGGTGCCGCGCGGTGTCCCGCCAGTGTCCCGCGGGTGTCCCATGGTGTCCCGTGGTGTCCCGTGGTGTCCCGTTGAGTGAGATCGATCGTGAGATCGATAGTGAGATCGATGTTGAGATCGATGTGGTGCCCCGAGGTGTCCCGTGGTGTCCCGTGGTGTCCCGTTGAGTGAGATCGATAGTGAGATCGATAGGTGTCCCGTGGTGTCCCGTGGTGTCCCGTTGAGTGATCGATAGTGAGATCGATACTGAGATCGATGTGGTGCCCCGAGGTTTCCCGTGGTGTCCCGCTGCGTGAGATCGATAGTGAGATCGATAGTGAGATCGACAGGTGTCCCGAGGTGTCCCGTGGTGTCCCGTTGAGTGAGATCGATAGTGCGATCGATCGTGAGATCGATAGTGAGATCGATGTGGTGGCCCCAGGTGTCCCGTGTCGCCTGTGGTGTCCCGCTGAGTGAGATCGATAGTGAGATCGATAGTGAGACCGATAGTGAGATCGACAAGTGTCCAATGGTGTCCCGAGGTGTCCCGTGGTGTCCCGTGGTGTCCCGTTGAGTGAGATCGATAGTGAGATCGATTGAGTCAGATGTTGGTTCCCCCCCTCTCCCCCCCCACAACCTCCTTATCACCCGAGGGGTGGTCGTATAGGTATATATACGCCATCTGTCTAGAAAACGGTTGGGTACGTCACCAGGTAAATTTTCCCTCCCCAGGATCACGCTCGTTGCCCAGGCCAGTCCTCCCCAGGTAACGCTAACGATCGTACTGGGGGGGTGGCCTGGAACCCCCCTTGCACGCTGTGGTGCGTGCAGGCGAGTGATGCGCCGGTGGCGCGGACGAGCCCTGGCGGGTGCTCGCCATGGCTGCCGTTGCCGCTGCCCCCCGTCCCGAACACCGCCCCCCGGCAGCGACGCAAACACTTCCACGAGGGAGCCGGGCCGGCGGGGCGCGCGCGCGCCCCGCCCGCTCCGAGGTCCCACGACGACGAGAGCGCGGCAGCGTCCTCGCCCGCCCCGACTGCCCAAAGGCAGCCAGACGCCAGGCGCCGCAGCCACGGCGTCGCCCCTCCTGGGCCCGGGAGCGGCTCCATGCGCCCCCCTGGCACGGCCAGGGAGGCTTCACGCCGATCCTGGGCCCAGGGCGTGGCCAGGGGCGGGGGATCTGCACGGATTTCGTCGCCCGGCCACGTCGCCCGCTCCGGCTGCAGCCAGCCAGACGCCAGACGCCGCAGCCACTTGGCCGCGCGGGCCGGAGGCCTCCTGCACGCTGCGGCGCCTCCTCCTGCTCCTCCTCCTCCTCCTCCTCCTCCTCCTCCTCTGGGAGGGCCTTTCCTCCGCGCGCGGCTCGTGTCGCCTGCGCGCAGGCCCTCGATGCTTTCGCGCCGAAGGACGAGACCGTTCAGCAGAGCGCCTGCGAGCCCACAACGTCGCTAGGGGGCGCCGTCGTCGGCGTCGTCGTCGGAGGGGAGGCGATAGGCGATCAGGGCTCAAGGCTTTCGAGGAGGGAGGAGGGAGGAGGGAGGAGGGAGGAGGGAGGAGGGAGGTTCGAGGTTCTCGTGCGCTTTCGTCGGTCCTCGGCGGTGGTCCTGCCTTTGGGTGTTGCATTCCAGTAGTGCCTAGGTCGTCCCGAGCGGCCGCCAGATCCCCGAGTCATGCACCGAAAGCCGGACAACGATTGCAGTGGAGGTCCATGCCAAGAACCCCCCTGCTTGCCTCCAGAGTGCCCTGGGCTTGACGGAAGGCGTGACGTCCCCACATCAAAAAATTCATGGACGTCCTGGGGTCTCAGGGCGGGGTTTCCTGTGGAAGGTCTCCTGTGGTCGGGCCCCTACTGTGCGGGCAGCGTGGGAGGGGGCGACGGGCACCTGGGGAGGATGCGTCCCGACCCCCGATCGCCCTCTGATTGCCGAGAGGGGCCCTCTGGGTACCCACCCTGCGCCCAGGACCGTTCGGCCTCGCCGTCGAGGGCCCGTCGCCTACAATTATCCATCGGCGATGCATCGCCGATGCCAGCTCGATGTTCCCCCCCTGAGCCTGTCCCCCCCCCCCCAGCGCTGCCCCTCGGGCGAGGAGGGGGACGGGGGAGGACGGGGGAGGACGGGGAGGGGAGAGGAGCGGGGGGGGGGGCCACGGGAGGAGCACAGGGCGGACGGGGTAGCGAGGGTGCTGGAGGGGCCGCCTCCCCCGCCCCCTTTCTCCGTCTCTCCTCTCCCGCCGGCCCGCCGCGCCCCCCCCTGTGCCCCGTTCCCTCGTCTCCTGCCTGTGCCAGTGCTCGACCCGAGGTTATTACTTTCCCCTCTCTCCTGGCAGTGCACGCGTGCGTTCCCACCTCTCTCCGCGTCCTGCTGCCACGGGCTGCTGTTGTGCGATCTGTCCCATGGTCTGTTCAACCAGAACATCCCCGGTCCTTCAAATAACGTGCTCGCGCTACAGCGTTGCACGCATCTCAGGATCGGTGCTGTGCTCCCGTCGTCCAGACTTACGCTCTCGCCCCAGCGCGGGCCACAGTTCTTGCTTCGAAGTCGTTGTCGTCGTTTTGGCCCACCGCCAACCTCCGCCCTCTGCTGACCCTCCTGCTCGTTCAGTTTCTCCTGCTCCTCCCATTCCTTCTGCCGCTGATCCTCCCTCTCTTCCTCCTCCTCCTTCCTCCTCCTCCTCCTCCTTTATGAACATTGGTCGTCGTCATCATCATCACCATCACAATCACCATCATTACCAGTTTCATCGCATTTCAGCTACCATTATCATCATCATTCTCCTTATCATTGTCATTATCATTTTCACTTCCATCACCATTTGTTTTATCATTAGCATCCTTACTAGCATTTGCAGTTTCATACTTATTCCCATTATCATTATTGTTATCGTTCTCATTGTCATTAGCATTTGCATTCGCGTTAACATTCACAGTGCCTTACTCATCAGCATTATCATCATACTCGTCACAATCATCAACTGCTCGTCATAAGCGCCACCATCACCATCAATGCCAGTCACCATCATCGTGATCATCCTCTTCTTCCTCCTGCTCATCCTCCTGCTCTTCCGCCACCTTCTTCGATGTACAAAGACCCCCGTCTCTGATTGCGCATTCCATGGGCATTTCTTGATCAAGGCCGTCAAGGACATCCCACGCACCTTCATTCATTCAGCCCACTGGGAAGGGATGCGGGCTCGGGAGAAATAGGATATCAGATATGGCAAAACGGCACCCAGCTTGCCCCTCTCCTCCCTCCCAATCCTCCTCTCTCTCTCTCTGCTCTGGCACCATCACCTGCCATCCCGCCAGCTTTCCTCCAGCGCTTCTGTTCCATGCAGGACTGGGATGCAGGGCAGCTCGAGGAAACCGATTCTGGAGCAGGGCGGTGCTGTTTTTTTCTCCTGCTCCCTCCCCCCCTTGCCCGCCATGCAGTCGACCTCCACGGTCACGACGCGGTGCTCCACAGGGCGACCGCTGCATCTTCGCCTCCTCGCCCAATCCTTCTCCTCTCGTTGACCCCGACCCCGCAGCGACCGTCTCAGCACAGCCTGGGCGCCCAGGGGCCCCGCCTCCGTGCCTTGCGCCCCCCCGCCGCGTGCTTCCGCTGCCGTGCGTGCCTCGCTGCTGCACGGCGGCTGCCGGGGGGCACCCGGGCAGGCTGCAGCGGTACGTCCTCACGGTGCTCCTCCTGGTGTCGGCGCTGGGTGCGGCATTCTCCTCTTTGCCGCCGCGCTCGCCTCGCTAGGGGGCCACATGCGCACCCTGCCCCTGCCCCCCACGACTTCCGAGGGGTGGGGTGGGGTTTACTTCGCTCGGGAGCTCCCGAACGAGGTGAACCCCACCCTCCCCTTCAGGAATCGTGGGGGGGTGGGGGTAGGGTTCGCACGTGGCCCCCCTATCTTTGCCGCCGCTCTCGCCTCGTGCCCCCTCGCCGCGTCGCTGCTTCGGCCGCCTCCTCTTCCTCTGCGGCCGGCAGCGGGCATCTGCACACTGGCACTGCTGCCAGGAGAGGGCCCTGCCGCGAGGCCGCGGGGGAAGAGCGGCCGCCCCGGCCTCTCCCTACGCTTAAGTCGGGCCTGTCCTTCCACAGGGGGAATCTTCCCAAATTGTACAAAAAAGGGCCAGGGACGATTTGTTGAGTTTTTTTGTTTTTGTTTTGTTTTTTTGTTTTTGTTGTTTGTTGTGTGTGTATCTTTTGAATGTTTTTGGGGTATTTCATATTTATCGTCCAAGATCCGGTTGTAAGGGGACATGCCCGACCTAACCCTACGTGCAACTCCCCAGACGAGCTTGCACGTCAAAGGTTCTTGCGTGGACTCCCCAGGCTCGCGCACCTGGTTTACTCTGCACCCTCGGGCTGGAGTCTCCAGCTCGCATCGTCAAGACAGGGCGGGAGAGTGCAGGAGAAGGTCAGACGAGAAAACACGTCGATGCCATTCCCTGGGCCTCACAGAGGGCACTCGTGGCCACGGCTGGATGGCCTCGGGGCCCTGCTTGTTAGGGGACGGGACTTACGTTGAGAAAGTTGTGTGGTTCAGCCTATTGGTTTCAAGGGGGCAGAGGAGCAAACCAAGAGTGTAGAGAACACACTTTCGAGTCCAGTCGTCGTTGACTCCACAGAGGAGGGGAGACAATCAATACGTTGGTGACCATACCATATAGAACGACGGAGGAAGAGATATGACGGCACAGGGACACAGGAGCCCACTGGAATGTAAACTATGTCGTGGGACGGCATAAGTGGCCGCAGCAAGAGTTTTTTTTTGAAACGCACAACAGACGCTCTCAATACGAACCGGAGACAACGGCAATGCGAAATTACATTGCGGGATTTCCATCTCGCCCGGGATGTATCGGAATCTCATTTTTTATGGGTGGGGCTTTTTTATACTTTGAAGTACAGCTATGTTTTATCATATCAGGGGAGCGGGATCCCGGCCAGACCACGCAACACGAATGTTTTGCTAGGCTTCTGCGGGGTAGGGGGTTCAATGCGTCCTAAACCCCCGCCCCCCCTCGGGGCTTCCGTCGCGGCGAGGTTGTGTCTGCGAGTCACGTTCGCGTTCGGGTGCTCTCGCAGAGCGTCAAGCAATTCTTCGGCACGGCGGTGCGCGCTTTTTTTACTTCAAGACGCCAGCAAGGCGACCGCCTCGGCATTAACAAGGCGACCAGCAATGGCAGTTCAAAGCCGCCTCAGGGACTCAGGACGACAGCACGGTGGCGGCAGGGAAGCGGAGTTGCGCGAGCGCGAACGGGCGCGTCGTTTATCGTTCTCATGGCGACAGCAACGCGTCAGAGACCCAAGACGACAGCAACTCGTCGGCAAGGATACGGCTTTGCACAATCGCGAAAGGACGCGTCGCTTTTCTCTCTCAGCGCCGCAGCAACGCGACAGCAGGGATTCGGAGTTGCGCATACGCGAACAGGCTGCGCGTTTGTTCTTCCAGGGCAACAGCAAGACGACAGCAAGGGCAGTTCACCATCGCCTCAGAGGCCCAAGGCGATAGCAAAGCGTCGGCAAGGATGCGGCTTTGCACGACAGCAAAGTGGTCACGTCGCTGTTCACTCCCAACGTGGCAGCAACTCGACAGCAAGTACGCGGAGTTGCACATGCGCGAACAGGCTGCGCTTTGCTTGGTCCCACCCAGGACAACAGAAAGGCAACATCAATGGCAGTCCAAAGCCGCCTCAGAGGCCCAAGTCGGCAGCGAAGCGGCGGCAATACTGCAGCTTTGCGCACGCGCGAATGGGGGCGTCGGTGTTCACTCTCATTGCGACAGCAACGCGCCAGAGACTCGAGACGACAATGCAGCGTTGGCAAGAACACAGCTTTGCACGACAGCAAAGTGGTCGCGTCGCTGTTCACTCCCAACGCGGCAGCACCGCGGCATCAAGGATGTGGAGTTGCGCATGCGCGAGCAGGCTGCGCTTTGTTTACTCCCAACATAACAGCAACGCGACAGCAATAGCAGTCCAAAACCACCTCAGGGGCTCAAGGCGACAGCGAAGCGACGGCAATACTACGGCTTGGCGCAAGCGCGAACGGCCGCGTCGGTGTTCACTCTCAAGGCGACAGCACCGCGCCAGGGACTCAAGGCGACAACGCAGCGTTGGCAAGGATACGGCCTTGCACGAATGCGAACGGGCGCGTCGCTTTTTCACTCTCAGCGCGGCAGCAGTTCGGCAGTGGGGGTGCGGAGTTGCGCATGCGCGAGCAGGCTGCGCGCCCATCCACTCCCAAGACAGAAGTGCAGTTCAACATCGTCTCAGGGGCCCAGAGCGACGGCAAAGCGTTGGCAAGAAGACGGCTTGGCACAAACGCGAGCGGGCGCGCCGCTGTTTACCTTCAGCGCGGCAGCAACAACGCGACAGCAAGGATGCGAAGTTGTGCATGCGCGAACAGGCTTGGCCGCAACAGAAGTTAGTTTGAACATGTGTAAACGACGCTCCCGATATGACCAGGAGACAACGCCATTGCGAAATCAAACTGCAGGATTTGCTTCCCGCCCGGGGTTTCTGAGAACCTCAGTTTTTATTATTCAAATAGCGGGGTCATTTATTGCCTGTGCTGATTTTATGTTATTGCATCACATCACGGGAGCGGGATCCCGATCAGACCACGCAAGACGAGTGTCCTGCTAGGCTTCTGGGGTGTAGAGGTGTACAATGCCTCCAACACCCCGCCCCCCTCGAGTCTGCCGTCGCGGCGAGGCCGCGTCTGCGAGCCACGCGTGTATTCGGGCGTACCCGCAAAACATCCAGGAATTCTCGGCACGGCGACGTAAGACGACATAGGATGGCAGAGGATGATACAACCAGCTGCCTGCGGCCCCCCCCCGCCGCCGAGCAGCAGCGCCCCGGGCATGAGTTTGAATGCCTAGCGCAACGCGTATCGCCCAAACACATCCAGGAACGATGCCCCAGGGAGCTGCCAGTCGCGGGGGAACGTCGCATCACTTGAAGAGCTCGTGGAACATTCGTGTCAGAGGTGTCTAGGCTTCTTGGACGCTTCTCGGAGTCTCTTGGGATGTCTATCGGGACCTCTTGGAGGCCCCTTGGGGCGTCCGGGGGGCCTTTCGCGGGCTCTTGGGCCTCAGAGGGCTCCCTGGGGGCCCTCTTGGGGGCCCCTTGTGACGTCTTGGGGGCCTCTGTGGGGCCTCTTCGCTGTATTCACAGCCCACAGCCTCTTGGGGCGTCTTGGAGCCTCCTGGGGACAGGGGCGTATGAGGAAGAAGAGGACGAGGAGGAAGATGAAGAGGAGGAGGAGGAGGATGAGGGGAGGCTGAGGAAGGCGGAGGAGGAAGGCGGAGGAGGAAGAGGAAACAGAAAACGAAGAAGAAGAAGAGGAGGAGGAGGAGGAGGAGGAGGAGGAGGAGTTGGAGGCGGAGGCGGAGGCGGAGGCGGAGCAGGAGGAGAGAAGGGAGGAGGAGGAGGTGGAGGAGGAGGCGAAGGCGGAGGTGGAAGCGGAGGCGGGGAGCGGAGGAGAGGAGGAGGAGGAGGAGGAAAAGCAGGAGGAGGAGAAGGAGGAGGAGGAGGTGGAGGAGGAGGCGAAGGCGGAGGTGGAAGCGGAGGCGAAAGCGGAGGAGGAGGAGGAGGAGGAGGAGGAGGAGGAGGAGGAAAAGCAGGAGGAGGAGAAGGAGGAGGAGGAGGAGGTGGAGGAGGAGGCGAAGGCGGAGGTGGAAGCGGAGGCGAAAGCGGAGGAGGAGGAGGAGGAGGAGGAGGAGGAGGAGGAGCAGGAGGAGGCTGAGGACCAGTGTAAACCCAATATTTATCAACGATGTTGGAATAGACCCTTCCTCCGAGCTCCCTCTTCATAGGATCCTACAACGGTTCATTTCCACGGAAGGAACAGCCGTGTTGGAAGACAACCGTTTGAGGACCGTGAGGCATGCCAAGACATTATTCTCGGGACTCCAGTCCCACGGATCAACTTGGCTGGCGCGTCTTCACGATTCACCGCGTATGAACGTAACTGTGGCGCCCTCATAATGCTCAATCTTTCCAAACCGCCATGTTTGGTACGATGATCATGGAAACCCGTGAAACTCTTCCAACTGTTTGAAACGGATGCGCGCGGTGCTAAGGCGAGGACCACATTTTGAAAACGATCCGCCTTCAATCTGTGAATCTCTGGAACAGTTTTGAACGAATGTGCCCGGCGCTAAGGCGAGAGCCACACTTTGAAAATGAGTCGCCCCCAATCCGTGAAATTTTTGCACATGTTTAGAACGAAATTGCACGGCGCTATGGCGAGAGCCCCATTGTGAAAAGGAGCTGCCCTCAATCGGTGACGCTTTTCAAATGTTCAAAAAGGAATTTGCGCGGCGCAAAAGCGAGAGCCGTATTTTGGAAAGGATCTGCCTTCAATCCGTGAACTATTTCAAATGCTTAAGACGAATTTGCGCGGCGCTAGGGCGAGAGCCATATTTTGATAACTACCCGCCCTCAATCCGTGAAAACCCTGCAAATGTTTAACAAATTTGCGCGGCGCCAGTGCGAGATCCACATTTTGAAAACCACCCGCCCTCAATCCGTGAAACTGTTGCAAATGTTTAAAACGAATGTGCGCGGCGCTAAGGCGAGCCACATGTTGAAAGCCACTCGCCTTCAAACCGTGAAGTATAGTTGTCACTTTTTAGCTTTAGGGTCATAAGCCGTGAGGACGAATCAGACGAAACGCCCGGCCCGCTCTAAAAACAGGCCTCGGGGTGCGACAGTGAGAAGTTATTGAAAAGGAGAAGGAATGGAGGAGGACGGCGCAGGAGCAATGCTGAGGAGGCGGAGGAGGAGAGGGGAGGAGGAGGAGGAGGAGAAGGAGGAGGAGGAGGAAGAGGATGGGAAGATGAGGAAGAGGAGGCAGAGGCGGAGGCGGAGGAGGAGAAGCAGGAGGAGGAGGAGAAGGAGGAGGTTGATGTTGATGATGATGCTGCTGCTGCTGCTGCTGATGATGATGATGATGATGATGATGATGATGATGATGATGACGATGATTATGATGATGATGGTGATGATGGTGATGATGATGATGATGGTGGTGGTGGTGGTGGTGATGATGATGAGGAGGAGGAGGAGGGCGAGGAGTTTCCGAGGAAACGCAAACATGGATTGAGGCGCGTGGATTTGGCGTTGGGTCCCTATTCCCTACAGAGTCGGTGTGCTCCGTCGCCAAATGTGGCGACATCGGCCTCGCGTTCGCATCCATGTTGGCGTGCGCAAAGTATGAACGATTTTCCAAGGTTACCTTTGCATCCTTCCGCTTTCCCTCATCCGTGGCGCTTTCGCTGGCCGCGCCCCGCTCGCAAAGTGTCGGCATGGCCTTCCCATGCCCTTGCATCCCTATCGTGCGTCCTGATTATACGGATTGACCGTAGAGGAGGAAAAAGGGAGGACGGTGGCCGCATTCGCTGTTTCGTGCAGCACGTGCCAATGCCTTCCCGCCCACTCCCCCCTCTCCTGCCTGAGCGCTCGTGCTTCCTCCGTCTCCTCCTCCTCCTCCTCTTCCTCTTACCCCTCCTCCTCCTCCTCCTCCTCGTCCTCCTCCTCCTCCTCCTCCTCCTTCTCTTCCTCCTCCTCCTCCTTCTCCTCCTCCTCTTCCTCCCCCCTCCCCCCATGCCTGTCTTGAGCAATCGTGCCAGGTATGGCTTGCTTCATGAGGACGCGCTGGGCCTGGGGTAGGGTATGGGGTAGGGCGCTGCCCTGAGGGATGGCATCGTGAGGCTTCGAGACGAGGGAGGATGCGGAGGAGGAGAATGGGTCGGGTGGGGGGTCCGTCGAGACAACGGCGGCCAGCAGTTGGCGCTCTTCTTGTCGCTGCTGCTCTTTTTGGCCTCCTGGGGGCTCCTAGTCGCCACCGCTGAACCCGCCTCGAGAAACGGGTCAGGATAGATGCACAGGATAGACGCTCGACCCGAGGTTATTACTTTCCTCTCTCTCTCCTGGCAGTGCACGCGTGTGTTCCCACCTCTCTTCGCGTCCTGCTGCCACAGGCTGTTGTTGTGCGATCTGTCCCATGGTCTGTTCAATCAGAACATCCCCGGTCCTTCAAACAACGTGCTCGCGCTACAGTCGGTGCGCTGAAGAAGGAACCCTTTTCGTTGGGGAGGGGCTCCGCGTTCCTCAAGTGTTTCACAGCTTGCCTCAGGCTTTCCTTATGTTTTCGATCGGAAGTCGAAGGTTAACTTATGGAAAAAAGGGGCCTCGTTCCTTATTTAGGGTTCCTTAGGTCAACGCCCCGACTGTAAACGCACAAGAGAGGTCTGGGGACCGAGTTTTAGCGGATGTGGGCTAGGCGGGAGAGCCACCATGGCCTCAATCGGCCATCTGAATGGGGGAGGGAGGCGTTACGCAGGGAGTTCCTGGGAGTCCAGGGGAGGGGTAACAAGGAGGAGGAGGACGAGGAGGAGGAGGAGGAGGAGGTGATGGAGGAGGAGGAGGAAGAGGAGGATGGGGAGGAAGGAGGAGGATGAGGAGAAGGGGAGGATAAGGAGGAGGAGGAGGAGGAGGAGGAGGGGGGAGGAGGGGATGGATTGAGGAGGAGATCTGAGGAAGCATAGCAAAAGTGAAAGGTAGGGAGGTGCCATCAAACGCTGTATTCACAGTCGAAAGATGCACCTTCTCGTCCGCCTCCTTTTTGTCTTCCTTCCCCGCACTTCCGCCCCAGCTCCACAGATTGGTGAGGGCACGCCCGTCGTGTTTTCGCCTCTCCCTCCGGGCCTTCCTGGATCTTTGGGGTCCAGTCGGGGGCGCCCGTGCTGGCGCGCCCATGCTGGCTTGTGGCTCCCAGTCCGCACGAAGTGTCCCGTCCTCCGCCCCCGCTGCCGATGCCGAGCGCCCCCCTCCGCCGCTCCGTCTTCTTCTTGCAGCCCCCTCCGCTGTCCTCCGTCTTCTCGTCGCCCGCGGAGGGGCCCGCGCCTGCATCCGGAGTTCTCCTGTGAGCTAGGGGCCGGGGGAGAAGGGGGGAGGGGGATGACGACGACGATGATGATATGTTGATGGTGCTGCTGCTGCTGCTGCGGATGATGATGACGATGATGATGATGATGATGATGATGATGATGATGATGATGATGATGATGACGATGATGATGCTGATGATGCTGCTGCTGCTGATGCTGATGACGCTGATGAGGATGATGTTGTTGGTCGTGGTGGTGATGATAAGGATGGTTCTGATGATGATGAAAACGATTATGATGATGATGAGGATGATGATGATGATGATGATAAGCGATTGTAACGATGCTAATGCTGACGGTGCTTGTGTTATGACGCTGAACATGATGCTGGCACCGATGCTCATGACGACCAGGATAATGATTCTGCTGCTGACTATGGTGCCGTTGTGGACGCTGATGCTGAACACTATGCATGTATTGATGCTGATGCTGCACATGATGAGGCTGTTGTTGATACTGATGATGCTGAGGTTGATACTGATGCTGCACACATGTTGATACTGGTGCTGATGCTGAGCAGGATGACGATAATGACGATGATGCTGATGCTGATGCTGATGCTGATGCTGATGATGATGCTGATGATGATGACGACGATGCTGATGCTGCAGAGGTTGATGGCATTGATTATGCTGATTCTGCCGCTACTGGTGATGACCATGGTAATGCGGATTAGGATGATGACGAGGATGACGATACGGATAATGATACTGATGATGACGATGCTGCTGATGATGATGTTGATGATGATGCTGATGATGATGCAGATGGCGCTGATGCTGAATTTGACGATGCTGCGGGGGAGGATTGGATTCTTATGTTCAAGGTGTTGGTGCTGCTCGCGATTTTGAGGATTATGGCTGTGATGACGATGATGCTGATGCTGATGCTGCGTCTGCTGATGGTGATGCTGCTGATGATGATGACGACGGCGATGTCGATGACGAGGGCGATTCTGAGGATTGTGATTGGTATGGCGATGAGTACGATGAGGGGGATGATGATGCTGCTGCTGATGGTGATGATGATGAGCATGAGGATGACGATAGACGATGATGATGATGATGATGATGATGATGATGATGATGATGATGATGATGATGCTGCTGCTATGATGCTGATGATGATGATGATGGTTATGGTGGTGGCGGTGGTGCTGGTGATGATGATGGTGCTGATGCTGATGATGATGATGATGATGTTGATGACGATGCTGAAGCTGATGATGGTGATGCTGATGTTGATGTTGATGATGAGGATGACGATGCTGATGATGCTGATGATGACGATGCTGCTGCTGCTGCGGCTCCTGATAGTGATGATGATGACGATGCGGAGGAGGGTGATGATGTTGAGGAGGATGAGGAGCAGCAGCAGGAGGAGGGAGAGATGAAGCAGGAATGCTGACGATGCTGATAGTAATGATGACGATGATGATGATGATGATGATGATGATGATGATGATGATGATGATGACGATGGAGATGATGATGGTGACGATGATGCTGATGATGCTGACGATGCTGATGATAAGGATGATGATGATGACGATGTTGATGATCATGATGATGATGATGATGATGATGATGATGATGATGCTGATGATGCTGATGATGATGATTATGCTGATGATGAGGATGCTGATTAGGATGGTGATGAAGATGCCGACGATGCTGATGATGCTGATGATGATGCTGATGATGACGCTGATGATGATGATACTGCTGATGCTGCTCATGACGATGATGGTGATGATGAGGATGATGATGATGATGCTGTCAATGATGATGGTGATGATGGTGGTGATGATGATGATGATGATGATGATGATGATGATGATGATGCTGATGCTGATGCTGCTGCTGATGATGATGATGAGGAGGAGTAGGAGGAGGTGGATGAGGAGGAGGACCACCCACTACAGTGCACCAGCCCCCCCTGATACAAGGCCAGCCAGCAGAGACTTGGCCAGCCTAGCCCATCCGAGCCTCACAGCGGCCAACATAGCAACTGCATATTGTGCCTGCGTGAGTCGCTTGCTTTCGTTTTGCTCTATCCTTATCGCTGCTTGGCGGCGGCGGGAGGTCATGGGTCTGGGGAGATCATCTATTGCTCATTCGCTCAGTTACTGTACCGTGTCTAGTTTGGGTTTAGTTGCCTGCGGTACCCAAACCATGGGACACTCTGCTGAACAACAAGCAGGCGTGTACTCCCTTCAGTTCAATTGCACGTGTAGTTCGTCTCCTCCTGTACGGCGTTCCTCCTCGGTATGTTACGTTATTCGTTGTAGTGTAGTTCCCCTTCTCCCATCGGCTGCCTGCTTAGTTACTCTGCGTCACAGGGCACTTATTATTTACCCACTTCTTCTTGCCCCTCTTGTACCCGCACTGGCAGCAGCCTGAATGTGTGTTCGCGCTTCGCTACGTCGGAATCCTTCTTTTTTGCAACTGGAAGAAGGAAACAGCCTCGATGCCAAGAGGAGGAGAAGGAAACAAGGAGGAGGAGGAGGAGTTGAAGAATAAGGAGGAGGAGGAGGAGGAGGAGGAGGAGGAGGAGGAGGAGGAGGAGGAGGAGGAGTTGGATGAGTAAGAAATACTGAGGATGAGGTGTAGGAGGAGGAGGAGGAGGAGGAGGAGGAGGAGGAGGAGGAGGAGGAGGAGGAGGAGGAGAGCGAGGCGGATGAGGTTGGCAGAGGTGTGAGGGCGAGGGAGGAGGAGAAGGAGGAATTGGACGAGGTGGCGGCGGATGGGGGAGGAGGTGGGGCGCAAGCGAGGGAAACGATGGTGTTTTGCCATGCAGGAGGAGGGGGACAAGTAGCAGGAGGGAGGAATAATAATAGCTGGATGGCTGGAAGGATTGATGAATGGACGGATGCATGACTGGAGGGAGGAGGAGGAGGGCGAAACATGGACATTCTCTTTCACCTCCTTTCTCCCTTTTCCCCCCTAGAATGGGTGAGGAGCATCCTGGTCGTCTGGTCGATACTGGGCAGCACCGTGGCATTCCTGATCGCATTCATCCTGCCGGCCCGCTTGGGGGGGGGTTGGGGAGAAGGAGAATGAGGGAGTTTTGGCTGTCGTGTTGGTGGCTCCAGGGGAGGAGGAAGGACGGGGGGGAGGGATGAGGTGGACATGGCCCCTTGTCGGCGCTCAGAATGCAAGTGCAACACTTGTTTTTTTCCCCACATCCCTTGTTTTCCCAGAACACCCTCTCCTTCCCACCCACCTCCCGCTCCATCTTCCATACAGGGGTTCTTGTTTTCCATTACTATTTACATGTTTCGTCGTGCCCCTCCCACCCCTCCAGGGAGGCCCCGCCTGAGCGAGAGGGTATCGGAAAATACCATACTATTTACATGGTTTCGTGCCCCTCCCACCCCTCCAGGGAGGCCCCGCCTGAGCGAGGAGGGTATCGGAATACCATACTATTTACATGGTTTCGTGCCCCTCCCACCCCTCCAGGGAGGCCCCGCCTGAGCGAGGAGGGTATCGGAAAACCATACTATTTACATGGTTTCGTGCCCCTCCCACCCCTCCAGGGAGGCCCAGCCTGAGCGAGGAGGGTATCGGAATACCATACTATTTACATGGTTTCGTGCCCCTCCCACCCCTCCAGGGAGGCCCCGCCTGAGCGAGGAGGTATCGGAAAACCATACTATTTACATGGTTTCGTGCCCCTCCCACCCCTCCAGGGAGGCCCCGCCTGAGCGAGGAGGGTATCGGAAAACCATACTATTTACATGGTTTCGTGCCCCTCCCACCCCTCCAGGGAGGCCCCGCCTGAGCGAGGAGGGTATCGGAAACCATACTATTTACATGGTTTCGTGCCCCTCCCACCCTCCAGGGAGGCCCCGCCTGAGCGAGGAGGGTATCCGAAAACCATACTATTTACATGGTTTCGTGCCCCTCCCACCCCTCCAGGGAGGCCCCGCCTGAGCGAGGAGGGTATCGAAATCATACATTTACACGGTTCGTGCCTCCAGGGGGAGCCTGAGGAGGGTATCGGAAAACCATACTATTTACATGGTTTCGTGCCCCTCCCACCCCTCCAGGGAGGCCCCGCCTGAGCGAGGAGGGTATCGGAAAACCATACTATTTACATGGTTTCGTGCCCCTCCCACCCCTCCAGGGAGGCCCCGCCTGAGCGAGGAGGGTATCGGCCCACGGTTTCGTGCCCCTCCACCCCTCCAGGGAGGCCCCGCCTGAGCGAGGAAACCACCAACGCCCAGAGGGCTGGTGGGATTGAGAGTCTCACGAAACCGTTAATCTCTTTATGTGGGGAACTCCGCTAGCATAATTCTCACACGGTGCTCGGGGTGACACGCGTTACCCCGCTGTTCTCTTACATTGCAAGACCTCATGTCGGCGCTCAGTATGCAAGTGGTATGGTCGTTTTTGTCTCACACGGTTTCCGGGGTGACACGTGTCTCCATGCTTTTTTCTTACAATGCAAGACCCTTTATGTTGGCGCGCACAATGCAAGTGAAATAAAATTTGTTTCGTTATCACACGGTTTTCGGGGTGACACGTGTCATTCCGATGTCTCTTGACAGTGCAAGACCCCATGTCGGCGCTCAGAATGCATTTTTGTTTTTTTCTCACACGGTGCTCGGGGTGATACGTGTCACCCCAATGTTCTTTCAATGCAAGTCCCCAGGCTGATGCTCACAATACAAAGCAACTGGTGCTCCTCACATGGTTTTCGGGTTGACACGTGTCACCCCGATGTTTTTTCTTACAGTGCAAGACGGATCGTCCGATGGGCCATTACGGCGTAGGAGGGAGGAGGGATAGGGCAGGGGGGGAGGAGGAGCAGGAGGAGGAGGAGGAGGAGAAGGAGGAGGAGGAGGAGGAGGAAGAAGAGGACGAGGGGGAGCAAGAGGAGTCGGAGGAAAGCCGACGGCAAGCGATGACGGCCTTACTTCAATTTCGAAACAGTTGCAGGGATGGAGGGCAGTTCCTAACTCAGAGGGGGCTCTCGTTTGGCGCTCACTTGAATCTCGTACTGTTACAACTGGACGCTTCGAATTATCACAAGGACGGAGGGCGGTTCCGTTTCAAGACGGAGGAGGAGGAGGAAGAGGAGGAGGAGGAGGGGGAGGGGGAGGGGGAGGAGGGGCAGGTGGACAATCTAGGTGCGCTCGCTTCATATCTGACGTCCTACCCCTCTCTCCCATCCCTTACCATAGCGTAGATATCCTCTCTATTCGCACAGTCGGATGTCGAGCAGTGCTATGACCGCGAGAGGGTACGCGACGCATAGTAGAGCACGGCATGGCATGGCGTAGAAGAGTACGGCAGAGCCTTCATGCCATAGCATGACGTGGCATTGCGCAGTGAAGCATTGCATCACAAAGCATTGCAATGCACAGCGGCGCAGAACACAACACCGCACAGCGTGTCATGGTATGGCGCCGGGGAAGTGGATCGTCTTTGAGAGGTCTGGGCCAGTCTGGAGTCGTGGCTCCATGTCTAGCTCCGTGGGCTCCCCGACAAGCTCAACATAAGGCGGGGCTGGTGGAGAGCACCCGCTGGCTATGCTTTCAACCTCGTCTTATCAAAGCAGAGACGGGGCTCCCGCTTGATACTTCCTGAACACGACGACGCCCCCAAATGGGGGGTCTTCTGTGGCCCAAAAACTCAACGAATCGACACCGAACGTGTAATCACTTCGATGTTTTTTTTCGGGTGGTTATTTCTCACATTTTGGGGCCCACTTGGAAGGACCGAAAACGCCCGCGCTGCAGCGGGAGCACGATTTGGAACAACCGGAGGCGCAGAAATGGGGCCAGCGCCTCAGCGGGAGCAGCATGTTGAACAAATACTCGAGCGAAAACCCGGAGGGGGACCGGATGTCTTCCAGACGTCGTCAGGAGAAAGAGGAGAGTAGTATTCATATTGTGTAATTGTGGGGGAAGAGGAGGAGGAGGGGGAGGGTGGAAGGAGGAGGAGGGAGGAGGAGGTGGAGGAGGAAGAGGAGGAGGAGGAGGAGGAGGAGCAGGAGGAGGAGGAGGAGGCGGAGGAGGATAGGGAGAAGGAGGACGAGGGAGGAGGAGGAGGAGAGGAGGAGAGGAGGAGGAAAGGAGGAGGAGAGGAGGAGGAGAGGAGGAGGAGGAGCGAGGGAGGAGGAGGAGGAGGGAGGGGGAGGATGATGAAAGGGGAGGAGGAGGAGGAAGAGGTAGAGCGATGCTACGACACACAATCCACCTCATCGCTCGGTCGAGGCGCCGGCGCCCTCCCTCCCGGGCGTGGTGAGGTCGAGGTGCCGGCGGAGGCGGCGGCTGCGGTGGCGGCGTCAGCGCCGCCGCGCGGCAGTGGGCGCTCGGCGTGCTGCCGCGGGGCCGCTGGGCGCGAACGGGCCGCGTCGGCGCGGCCGCCCCCCGCGGGGCCACACACACACGATGCTACGTGTCGTAGCATCGCTCTACCTCTTCCTCCTCCTCCTCCCTTTCCTCATCCTCCTCCTCCCTCTCC